AGGTCCTTCGGGGAATTAGACCTGCGGTTCCTGAGGCCGCACCCTGGCACGGCCAGGCTGTGACCCCATCTGTAGGCCTATGCTGAGGGCCCAGGACCCATTAACCACAAGGCCCTGCCCTACCCGGGCCTCCCCCGGAAGCAGGGATTGTGGCCGCAGCTGCGCGTGCTTGTCACTAATGCTAAAGAAAGGCTGGGCCGGATGCCAAGTCTGAGCAGCTGCCAGGGTTCAGGGCTCAGACCTCGGCCCTCCTGAGCGCCTGCAGGGGATCCTCCAAGAGCCGCTGCTTGACAGCCTCTGGCCTGTCTGAGAGGGTCAGGTGTGGGGCGGGGGGGGGCGGTGAGCTGGGGCGGGTGATGAGGGAGGCGGCTGCTGATCCAAGCCATGAGGGGTTAGGGTCCCTGCTCTGGGCACCCCGCCCACCCTCCTCACATCTCTCCCTCCGAGGCCAGGCACAGCCCTATCTTTCCCATCTGGTTAGCAGATATTTTACTGAACACCTACTATATGCCTGGCCCTGAGCTGGTCTGAGAGGATTGAAAGAATGGAACCCTCCCAGTCCCTGCTCCCAGGTCGCCCACTGTTAGGGCAGAATCTGGCCGTGAGCCCAGTGAAGGAATAGCATGATGTCAGCTCTAAGACAAGTCACCAGTAAGCACCTTGGTGGCAGGGAGGCTGTCCAGAATGTGAAGGTGGCCTTGAAGGATGCGTGGAGGAGGAGGGCTGGCGTCCCAGCCGGGGCAGAGGCTCCGAAATGAGAAGCACAGACTTGGGGAACAGTGAGCACCTGGCCACGGCTGGAATGTAGGGCGTGCTGTGGAAACATGGAGCATGAGGCTGGGGGGCCAACAGTACCTGGGTGAGGAAAGGCCTCACTGCGGGGCTTGGGCATGATTTTATCTGAGGGCACTGGGGAGCCACAGAAGGTTATAGGGAAGGTGAGTACTGAGGCCACATTTGGGTTTCAGGGAGGATCACTGTCGCAACAGAGTTGGGGGTGAGTTGGAGGGTGCTCACATCACACTCAGGGACCAGGTGGAGAGAGGGGTGTGGGGAGCACTGGGCAAGGCGGGAAGCTACTAGGGAAGTTGCCAACGGGACTTTCTTCTCCAATCACTGTCCTTCTGAAATTGGCAGCACCAGAAAGGAAAGAAGATATCGACCAGGAGCGACTCCCATCTGGAGGTCAGGCCAGCAAATCCACCCAGCCCTCCATTACCTCCCAGCCCAGCCTCCACTGTCCCACACTCCACGGGCACCTTCCTCCAGGGACTGCAGCCCACCCTGGCAGGGAGGACCAGGAGGACCAGGCGGACGTGGGATTGCCAGGCAGGCCCGAGAGGAGGCTGGGCCACACCCGAGAGCCCCTTCCCCCTCCTCCCAGGCCCAGCCTGAGGCCTCGGAAATAACCACAGCAGCTGCACTTTTCCCTCCAGGGCCTCTCCCAAACCTCAACCTCGGGATGGGGGGAGGGGTGGGTGGGGCCCAGCTCCACTGCCTTTCCTCCCTGCTTCTCCTCCAGGGGCCACGGGCACCCTTTCTGCCTGATCGAGAGTCGGTTGTTTCAGGAGGAGGCCCAGTCCTTGCCCAGCTGCCACCGGGTGGGCCAGGCCGGCGGGTCCAGCCCAGTTGGCTCCATTCCTCCCCTGGAAGACGGCCCACACCAGGAGTGTTTGCTGCCGGACAAGGGGCTGCTTACTCCTCCTCAGCATCTGGGCGGCCGCGGGCTGGTAGAGAGAGGCGGTGTGGCACAGACAATAGACCCCGGAAAGGCCCCTGTAGCAGTTTGGAGACTTGGGTGTTGGGCGTAGCCCTGCCGTGCCCTCCCCGAGGCATCCAGGTAAGTCCCTTCTCCCTGCCTGCCTCAGTCTCCCCATCTGTACGTTGGGGAGGTGAAACCCTGCTCTGTACAAGGTTAGTACAAGGTGGAGTTCTCGTCTAAATAGAGAGGGTGTGTGTTTTTCATAGTCTCAGAAGGTCTTAGCTTCTTTTCCTAGGCTGTCTACCTTCCTGGGGTCAACACCTCTGGGGGGCCCCTCCGCCCCCACTTTCTCCCCATCCGTCTCCTCCTGCCCGGGCCGGGGCAGAGAGTCTTCAGATTCCAGTGTTCCCTGTACCAGGGCCTGTGGTTTTCCTGGGGGGAGGAACAGGGACAGGGTGGATTGTGTGGTGGCGCCCACTTATCTGCCAGGCCCTGTGCCTGGCGCCTTGCTTTCATACATTATCTCATTTCATCTTCTCCTCACCTCTTCTTGTCTGCATTCCGGGCTGAACTGCACAGGGAAGCGGCTCCGGGCCCTGAAATGAAGCTGATGTTAGAAACAGGAGAAGAAAGGCAAGCGCTGCCCTGGCCGGTTTGGCTCAGTGGATAGAGTGTCGGCCTGCGGACTGAAGGGTCCCTGGTTCGATTCCTGTGAAGGGCACATGCCCAGATTGTGGGCTTGATCCCCAGTAGGGGGCATGCAGAAAGTAGCCAATCAATGATTCTCTCTCATTATTGATGTTTCTATCTCTCTCT